GGGCGTTAACAGAGATAAACAGAGAATCACTCAGGCTGCTTTTAATTATGAATTAGACCACTCAGATGAGATGGAGAAATTCCAGGATCTGGTCTTTGCTCCCAGGACTGTGTCTATATTTTCTATTCAGCAGTCATTCCTGAGGGGTCAATAGGCACATAGTGAATGTGCAGGCAGTACAGCTATCCCATGGGCCATGGGCCATAAGGATCCACCCTGCACAGCTCAGGGAACATGGCAAAAACATTAATGGGAACATCTAGTTTATTCCACACACTAGCCTGTTCCACTGCGTTACATGACTTAGTTAAAACATAGGTATGTTGGGGGAGAATTTGAACTTGGCCCTCCCACTTTCTGGGCCAGTGATCTGTTTAAAGAGGAAAACACCATCTCCACGATTTTAAAAGGTGGTAGTTGTCAGATTTGTGAGGAGGTCTGATCTTAGCAGTGTGCATCAAACCTGTTTTGAGAATATCTGCAGATTCTTCTCCCTGAAATGCAAGGAATGTTTCTAAGTCCTAGTTTTACTGATGCAGGAGATTAGAGCTCCGTTGCTCAGACCAGGCAAAGGACAAAACAGGAGAGTAGGCCTTTGAAGTCAAAGAAAGAAATATCTCATGAGTTTAAGAGTGAGATACGTGATTCTGCAACCATTAAGTAGCTAAACAGAGCTATTTTGGTCAACAGTTTCAGACTTCGGCACATCAAACCTACCTAAGTATTAAGTGTCTTTATCTGTTGTCTTTATGGAATGAAAGATGTCTCTGCTGTTATGCTGCTGTGAAGAAAAATGAGGTGTTTTGGGAGAGCAAAAGGGAGAAAAGGAGGCTACAGTTCTCCCTCGTAGTCTGATACCAACTTGACTGGAAGCTAAAACCACCTCCTGGTGTAACAGAGTAGCTACAGTGAGCAACATGCAAGTATGATCAGAAAGCGGATACTTTTCATTCTAAACAACAGAATTACATTAAAATACCAAGGAAGGCAAGCAGAGTAGCAGAGTTCTGACCTATATGTATTCTGAGTAAATAAATTGAACACATGAAACTATGCCAACACCAGATGTATCTCCATACCAAGGAGCAAGGAACAGAGCTCACCTACCAAATAAAAACAAGGCCCCTTTGACATTCACCAGCTCTTTACAAGCCTAGGCTAAGGAGGCTCTATGAAGTAACAGAGAGCATGTCTTGCCAAACTCACAGAGATGTTTATTTCAAGAGGAAGAGGATGAGAGGATAATGTTATGGATGTTTGTCACTTTGTGTCAAGCACTGCTAGGGAGGGGGTGCTTAGGCTGAGCATACTGTAAGAACCTACACAGGATACAACAGAATATATTAATACAGCAAAGCTGTTCTTTTGACATTCCTTGTTCTTGTAAATATCAGTAGCTTTGAAGCTATCTACATATTTAAATGCATCAATATGTATTTTATGCATTATTTCACTCCTTTCCTCTTCTTGATTCTCCCCCCTGTAGAGCTATGCCCCAGCTTTGTAAAATAAAGTATCCATTACACATGAAAAAATGGTCCTAATGAATCACAAAACCCCACATAATTTAGTACATCATCTCTCAATACAGCTTTTCAGTCTAATTTAATGCATTATTGAAGATAACGCGTTCATTAAAACAGCTGCCAGAAAATTGTTCATTTGGATTGTTTCATGGAAGCACTAGTCGGAGACAAATAAAACACCACATGCTAATGATATGCAAAACGGACAAAAAACAATTAAGTTTTGATACATTGGTATTGAGATGTTAATATGATTTTTTTTTTTAATGAGTACTGCCATGCCGGCTTTTATATGGCAGATATCAAGCATCACAAAACCGGTGTTTCTTTTCATCAAACTTACAACATATAATAAAAAATAACAAAAAAAACACATGGCAAAATTACCGGGGCTGTTCAGCAAGGATGAATTAATGAGCACAGAATTATTATTTATTGTTTCTTATTGCTGCTTCTTTGTCAGTGAGCATTTTAGTAGCGGATATTTGGATCTGGAGTTTGCTCCTAGTCTCTAGTGGAGTTAACTGAAATCTCTTATCCCCTCAAACGCTAGGAAGCCCTGGATTCTAATGTGCTGTCTCAAATGAACATCTAACATCTTCGATTGTAACTGGGGCTTAGCAATAGCTGCTGGCCTCTGAACAGGAGCAAAGATTAAAATTTTGCCACTACTTGTTTCCACCTGTTGTGCAAGTCTCACTGTTTCCTGGTGAAGCTCAGGGTAATAAGTATAGTTTAACTAGAATATGTCATCAGCAAGAGACACACACCAGAAAAATATCTATAACAGGTTTATTAAAGCTACTGTCATTAATTCATAAGAAATGCTCATAAAATTAACAAAACAAGCTATCTACTGTTTCATGGCTCTTTTGTGTGTCAGACTGAACATCCTTTAAGCCAGGCAAGACAGATTACATTATTATTCAGCTGCAGGCCCAATGGTTTAAATTCCACAGACATCCATACCCCCTGTCTCCACTACTGGATGTGCAGACGAGGCGAGAAAGTTTGGCTGGGACAGTGATTCAACAGTCTAATATTAATCTATGGGTCACGCTTCTAAGCACTTGGTCAGGTCCAGCAGCCTCCAAGCACTCTATCTCTGTCATGGTCATATCCAAGAAGTCCTTTTAAGCCAAGATGTAAGGGAGAAAAATCAGTTCTGAATAACCGCAATCTAAAACATCTCATGGCAAAGACTAGAAGTCGACACCTTTGTTTGTCCAGTAAACTACTGAACTACTTATTATTTTAGGCAAACAATGCAGGTAACTATTGAGTGTTGCAGAAACATATTATAACAAAGCATGAACTCTTCTTTCAGTTTCTATACTTCAATATACATGCACTGTCCAAAAGGAAAAAGAAATGCTTTCACTGTAGTCTCAAAGGAAGGAGTTTATCTGGCCTGATGTAGATGTCTAGAAATTTGAACTATTCACCCCAGGTTCCTTTGCAAACCATGGAAAGTAAGGCATACATTCAGAGCATGGTTAACATTGTGGTAAAATAGATGTTTGCAATGTGACCAACTGAATCACTTCCTAAAAATGTCTACTTCTCTATGACTATAAAAACAGAATAGATCAAGTAACTTAGAATTAGATGTCTACACTGTAGATGCTTGAATTTAAGTGAGATAAGTCTATCCAGGGTGTTTAGATAGTCAGTTTAATACGGTAGGAAAGATAAATACAACAAAATAATGTCATGCAAAGGATGTATTTCATGATTTCATGGCAACTATTAAGTGCGCATTTCTTAAAATGGTGATACAGTAGCTACCAGGATTATAAAGTGGGATACTTCTAGTTAAAACCCTCTAACCCTCTGCAGTAATAGAGATACATTTTCCAAAGATGATTTGTTCTGTCTTAAAGTTATCATTTAAGTTACTTGGGAAGAATCTTCCTCTGCAGATTGATGTGTTTCCTCAAAAGTGCAGAGTGAACCCACCTCACTCTATATGAAAACAGTAGTTGAGACTGGATAGCTGACTTTTAAATGACTAATCCTTGATGAGATTAATCCCATTCGTGCTATATAAAGATAATAGATCTTTATACCTGAGGAGCTGTGTTTTCAGTAGAGAATACAGCCCCTTCAAACATATGTGTAGGTATGACCTGCTGTTCAGAGAATTTCAATAAATTATAATTAGTTTTACATACAGTTTAGCAGTTTCACAGATCTGATGAATATACTGAACAATATCTTATTTTCATTCCTGGAATGCATGTATGAAAAGGCATCTAAATTCTCATGAAATTAATTCCTTTGGGAACCATGGAGTAGGACTGCCTTCATACTATTTGTTCCTGGCAATAAAAATTAATCATTTTCCATAGTAGTTGGAATTAACAGGCCAATACACTTAACTAAATACTAATGTAACTTCTTAATCCTGCTTTCTGTACGTCAAAATTAGTAGATCCATTTTTCTGCAAGAGAGAAAAGATTGATCAGAAATGCCAAGCAAATCAGTATTCTCTAAATGTCACACAAGGAAACTTTAGATCAATTTATTTTTTTAGAAAATCTACTGAAGTCTGACTGTCCCATCTTGTCATTTGCTGAAATAGGATATGTCAATTTATAATGCTTAATATACAGACCCTTGGTATGTCTTTCTACAGCTTTAGATCTCTCGCAATACCTTATTAATTTTATAATCTAGTTAATCGCAAAATTCAGTCTTCCCATCGAATTTTGCAATGATATAATAACACAAGGTATTTTAACAAAACAAATTGATTAATATAATTTTAGTTAACATGATCATATCTCAGAAGTAATGGATGAAGACCAGCTTATTAGAACATTTCATCTATGTTTCCATTTGTCTTTACTTGTTACAGAGGTATTGATTTATAGTATTATGAATTAATAGTTGCCGTGAACAGAGAAGGCTTAAAATCTAGCAACTTCTAGAAAAATTAATAAAACAAAAGCTTCATTCTTCACTGCCTTACTTATTTGTTTATTCACTATGCTCCTTACAAAGGTAAGAATGGTACTCATAGTATAATATTTTCATTAAGATTTAATAGATTTTATATCTTCCCTTTATTGGTCACAATGACTACATTAGGTGAAAATACCTCTGAGCTCTGGTTTATTCATTTCAGTAGAACAACCTGATTCTCAGATGGCCTTGCAATTTATTCTTGTCACTTTCAGGGCAAGGTGCCATTGCCTCAGTCACTGTGGGTGTCTCCATTGACTGCACAGGTAGGACTCTACAGATTACAGTGAGACCTTAAGAGATCTCCCTCACAGGTGCAGAATAAATATTGTGTCTAGAGCCTGGGGTTGGATATCATCCTAAGCAACTCAGTCTTACTGAATGAAATACTTTGGAAAGGTTTAAGTACACAGACATGAGCAAAAGCCATAGCTGTGGTGTAATATACTGAAGTTATTTGAATGAAGTTCTTTACATTGTTCAGTATAATACATCTTGGATCTTACCTTTAACTTTGGAATAGCAAGGTTCACAGTGCACAGTTTGTCTGTAAATCCAAATGCTGTCTCCAGCTTTCAGGTCTTCCAGTGGTCTTTTACATACTTCACACTTCAACACACAAGTAAAAGTAACAAGAAAAATTAGAATTAAACCCTTTTCTAATGTTCATTCTCAGCATGCTGTCTTTTAGGAAGTAAGCAACCCCATATCAGAATAGGGTTATGAGTACTGCAATATCACCAGGTCTGAACTTTGAAAGAGTAGTTGTAATGAACAGTAAATTAGACATCTGAATATCTCACCTTTAGACATTTAAAAATCAAATACCTAAGTCTCAACTGGTTTCCTATGTTCTTGTTATACTCACTAACCCCTTCCTTCCCCAGACATTTCCAAAGGGTAGTGCTGTCAGCTACATGCAAATCTCTAATGGATACAGGGTATTTGTAAGGAGCTAAATTAATATTAATGATGAGAAATGGCACTACTTAGCTAAATACATAACTCCAAGCATGAACCACAGACCTACATTAGTTGTTTAATTTTTTGCCAATGCTTTCATAAATGTGTCATTACACTAAAGCTGAATTTTGCTGGCCAGACAGGTCCCTGCTCGGGAATAGGTAGCAAAAAGTATCTAACTTTAAAAATAAGATTAAGTATTTAACAGATAATTCAGCCAATACCAACATGTTAACACTCCTAACTGCATAAAAAGCCCATTCCTCTTTATGTGGGCTGATCTATATAAAAAAGAATGGAAGCAAACCTGAGTTTGTATTTACTTGCAATACTCTTATTGAGGAGGTATTGCATAGTGATTTCCATGGAAGAAATTGCATTTCTAGTGCTCACAGAGCTCAGAAAGTCCATATGAGACAGAAAGCATATGTAATTTCATACATGTTAAGCACAACCTTACTGCTGTGTTCTGCTGTGGCTTACTTTTCATGTAGTAACAGGGTAACAGAACTGCTGTAGGAAGCAGAAGTAAAAGCTATGCAAGACTGGTCAGAAAAATGAGCTATGCTAATGCAGTGATTTTGCGGAGTATTGTTTGTTAGGACAACAAGCTCTGTGTGGAGATGCAAGCAGAATTGAGACAAATGAGGCAGAAAGAAAACAGACTAGAGAGCTGAGCACTGGTAGGCAAACTCTGAGAAAAGTTTAAGAGTGAATTTTAGGCTGAGGCTTAGGCTTTGGAATGATAAGCAAAAAAAATGTCTTCTGTGCTTTCATTCTTATCGGAAATAGGAAAAAAATTTTTTACATAATTTTTAATAAACGAGACTGAGGCAAAGACATATTCAATTTCAGCAATATTTTATCCTACAGCAGAAACTATCCATAAGAACCAAATTTTAACCAAATCTTTGATGCCAGTGCGTAAAATGATTTCACTCTATGGCTTAAATACCTCTTACTAATGTCTTTAATTGTGGCTTCTGCACAAGCCGTGGTTTTAGATGTCACATAATCAAGAACATCTACAAAACTTCATTAAAAAAATTATTTACAATATGAAGAAAGTATAAGTAAGACATAATTCAATATATCAGACTGGAAGCATGTATAACTGAAGGCTTATAAATGTGTAGGACATTCAGGATACATTCCACTGCATCCTTTATCCTCATGGCTGCAAGAGAGAGGGAGAGGCAGGGAGAGGGAGAGTAGAGGAAGAGGGAGAGAGAGAGATGGAAAGAAAGAGGAAGGGATTGTGTAGGGGCGAGAGAGAGAGAGACTAGTATTTCCTACATTAATCTTCTCCTCCAATGTGCAAGCCTTCCTTTTCTCCCAGGTGGAGAATGCTTAAGGCCTAAATATTCTCTTATTGTATGTGTAATATAATGCAGGTATTGCATTCAAATGATATTTCTTAGTAGCAGGTGAAATCTTACCTTGAAGCAAGTCGAATGACAGCAAATTTGCAAGGCATCTAAGATCATTTTGGCATCTATGCCCAAGGGCTTCCTGCAGTATGTACATATATCTTTTCCAATTATACTCCTGTGTATATAATATAACATCAGCTGTCAGAAAAAGAGCTATCATTGAAATCTCAAGGAGGAAATTGATAAACTTAGTGCACTACGTGGGAAAGACATTTGTATACTGTACAACGGCCATAAATGGAAGAATGTCATGTGTATATTCTCTCCATTCTAGCTGACAGGTGTAATATACATGCTCTATGATGGGAAAATTGCTGAGCATAATTGTCAAGTAGCAAAAATACCTTGATAGAAAGAGCGGTCTTCTGATGATTTCAAACAGTAATGAGACTGTATTAAGCTGCTGAATGTCTGGGAGCATGTATACTACATGGGGATGAAGTGGAGGGTAATGATTTTGATGTTTTAATCACAAAATTAAATTGGTAGTTCAATTTAAACTGCCATCATTTGATCAGTCTGATACAGAATTCTCCTCTATGTTGCGGAAGTGCCTGAAAACATTTTTAATTTTCTGCACGGCAAACAGAAATCCTACCTTCATGGCAGTTATAGTGAACACATGTACAGAACAGCCTATCTGGTATTCATAACTGTAATATTTTTTAAATTTTTCTAAGCTCTTTTTGCATTCTTATGTGACATCAATCTGTAGTTTCTCCAGATACAACTGTTGGTGTTGGCTTTGCACTACAAAACCAACTGGTCTTACTCCTTTCCACTGAACAATAAACCATTGTACTAATATTTAATCATTCCCAGAGTTCCTTATACATACGTTGGAAAAGATACAAGTTTTTCTGTTTCAGTATTTCCAAGTAACGGGACTGTCCAAATTATCTGCACTGAAAATAGCAGGCACATTTATTTTTTCTTTTCCCCATGAGGTAAGATATTAGCATTGATTGAGCAAATATCTATCTTATATTTGGGAATATCTTAACTGGTGTGAAAACATAGAGTTTTTAACAGCATTGTCATGTGAACATATTCCTCCAGATCTGTACATAAAGTTGGTCCTTACAGACACCGTTCTCACAAAGGAAGGAAATTTTGCAGAGTAAGCAGCTGCCCGAGGTAGAAACCTACATAATCACGAAGCCAACTCTGTCGCTTAAGGCATTGGCTATTGTTTCTATAGATATTTTCAAATGTCAGCTGTGACAAGCCTAACATAACATTAGGCTGCTGAACTGTGGTAATGATTTGATGGCAAGATCCCTCTGAAAGGGAGCTCTGTGTGAAAAGCTGTCTGACGAGCCTAATGGTGACTTCCACTTCTCTCTTTTGTGTAAAAACTTGAATGCTTATGCAAAATGTCTGCATCTCAGCAATGTTATTAATGTGTACTTACCGATTGAGCCTAATGGTGACTTCCACCGCTCTCTTTTGTGTAAAAACTTGAATGCTTATACAAAATGTCTGCGTCTTTTGATACTCAGCAATGTTATTAATGTGTACTTACCGATCAGAAGTAGAGTAAACAGTTTTGATAGTATTTCCAGTTATATTTTCTTCATAGGCACCATATGATGATTTGCTGTGAAGCAGTGAGTGCATAGCAATCACTAAACAGTACTTTTTATTTTTAAAGGTTTCACTACACTGATGCTAATATGCAAATTAAACCAATGCAACATGCTTGTAAAAAAAAATCTTACTTGGTGATGAGTTCTTTTTCTGTATTTTCACAACCATCAAGAAAAATATATCAAATAAGAAGCATAAATTAGAAATATAGTGTCCTTAGACTGTGTTCTGTTGTTGAATGATTCTTCAACATTTCAAAATTAAATACACAAGCCCATTGAGGAAAATCTACATGATGGCATTGGGTTTGCCTGTGCTGATGTCCCAACCTAAATGATACAAATCAGGAAATGGTGACACACTGCGTTTTTCCCTTTTTTCCCCCTTCTTTCACTAGTCCTCAAAGAGCTGTCAAACAGCCAAACAAAATTACAACATGTCCTTAGAAGCAGAGGGAGGGCCTTTATAATACAGGCTGTTCAATGTGTGATTTGTGTTCACTACAGTAACTGTATTGTTCCTTGTATCAGAGTAGGAAGGAATATACTGAATTTAACTGTCAGGGAAGTTAAATCTTCCTTTTTTAACAGTCCCAGTTCTAGCTACTTAACTGTCAGTTTTGTTTGCGTGGAAGGGATTAGCATGTATGTGACACCTGAAGAAGTCATCTTGCCATACATGTTTTGAACATTTCTGAACTGATTTAATTATCCTATTCCTCCAGAAATTCCTAAGGTATATGGTAATTGTTACATGTTTCATATCACTCTTAAATAATGTTTTGCAATGTTAGGAACAATTTTTTATAATCGTGTATATTTGCAGAACGTCTTTTTTTTAGGGAAAGTTTAACAGACTGATAACATGCACATGTAAGCTATTACACAGCCCAGATACACTTTTCTAAATACCTTTTGTAATGTGTATATGTCTGTCTTGATTTCTACACAACACTAGAAAGGAATTAAAATTGTGCAGTTACTAAGAAGCTTAAATGATATTTGTTTTACTTACGTTTCAAGGAACATAACAATATGCTTGTTATTTAATAGCAAGGTAGCCAACCTGAGTTATCTCACCACAGAGAAATTGTGTCCTCAAAATGAACACCCAGTGCTCCATTTACATTTCAGGCAAGATGAAAGTAGGCTTACTAAGTAGGAAAGCAAACCAAAGCGAAGCGATCACCTTTTAAAAGAATTTTCCTGGCTATTTTTGCCCCGACCAAGCTAGACACATGCACAACACATGCGGGGTGGACTATATTGATGGTACAAGTGCCTAAAGTTTCTTGTTATACTGAAAAGTGACATAGGAGCATGATCTATCTGTTCCTATAAACTATGAGCCTGTCTGTGCTTCTTTTTGTTGTTAAGCTTACTTTTCTCAAATCTTCCATTTAATTCATTGTATTTAGCTGCAGAATCTAGTGGTGAGTCAGGTTGACGTTTCAAGCTATCTAGTAAATCAGGGTTGAGATCAGGGCAAAATAAGTACTGTGCATTGCTCACTTAATGTAAGTATTTAGATGCAGCATGCCTGAAAATAGCACTGGTTATCTTATAGAAAGTTGTATAGAGAAAAACACTTTCCTCAAGTGTCCTAGTGTAGAGAACAGCGTCACTTGGAGTATAATAACTGGCTAGGGTATTATGATTTAAATACTCAAAAATATACGTAACCACATCTTCAAAAAAAAATAAATGTGCTGTATAGAACAAAAAGAATATGAAGCTACAGCAAAGGTTTCTACACTTGCCAACGGAAAGTGTGAGGAAACTCAGAACCTTTTCAAATAAATGCATAGCCAGACAGCTTGACAAAACGCTAAGTTGAAACTGAGCCACAATGCAGCCTGAGAACTGCGTATCTGATCAAGTCCCTTCTTTCATATCTCCCACTCCTTTACTTGCTACGGTGTGACTTGTTTATACAGCAAACTACTCAACAATAAATACTCTGTAGAACCTATTGCATAAACCCTGAAAGAATAACCTGCAAAGACCATTCATTTAGTAAGCTTTCATAAATTAAATTTGGATTAGAGCTTCAGGTAGGGGCTATACATTTTGTCAAGTGTAAGGTAACACTGCATATTGAAGCACATTCTTTGCCTGCCATTCTTGTACTATTGTTCTCTATTTTAATTTTCAGAGATAATCAGAACATTAACCTTCAGAAGCAGTATGTCAGCAAAATGCTGCAAAATGCTAATAATTTTTTGTGTTGAATATTCATTTTGAGTCTTAAACTGTATGCTGTTTGGATTTTCTTTTGTTCTCAGCCAATTTATGGACTTGGCCTTCAATGCCATGTGCAACTTTCAGAATACACAAATTCCAACCACACTCCAACCTCCTATAGAAAATGTAAGAAAATGAGAGATCAAAGATCCTGTGCCCAGTCATACCCACACCAAGACACAGATGTGCATAAGCTTAAGGATTGGGACATTGGCCATAGTTCTGATAAAATACCAGACTGTGACTGCCATTTTTCCTATTAGTAAGGCTCAATAGAAGATTCCTCCTCTCCCTTCCAAGTCATCAGCCTTGACTCAGACAGTTCACGACCACTACGCAGCAATACAACACCTTATGTGTAGGACTATGTCTTTAAACAATCCTGTCTACATTAATACTTAATTAATCTACATAGATGCGTGGGTTGGTAATGAAGAGAGGTTTTCCTAATCCAAAAAGGTCTTTCATTCATTTTTTGTTGTCGTATTTCTTGAAAATACATTTTGACTGTGGAGAAAAATATATTGTTTCCTTTATTTCAATGATTTCCTGTTATAAACAGACCTGGTGTTTAGTTCTATCAAATATCAGTCAGATTTGCAATACGTGTGCTTGTAGAGACAGAATTCTACTACAGCAAGAGTATTGCAAAAGAAATGGTTTTTAAAATAGTTTGTACCAGGTCAAAAAGTCAGAAACCCATGTTACAGTTTCAGTGATTGCAATATGAGATGATACATGGGTTCTGATTCATCCCATTTAGTTTTAGGAACTTCACAAGGCACTTGAGTGAAGAGTGTAATGTTTTCCTTACAGCCTCGGAAAGAAATAAGCTCCCTGAGAGCATGGTGTATCTAACATGCAGGAAATGCCTTTCCTCTACTGATTCTATAAGAATTCTGGCTTAACTGCTCTCCAAAATTTCATGCCTCAGCTACATCTCCAGAGCTACACAGGGTATGTCTTGTGCTCACCACTCTGTGCACTAGAGCTACGCTTTGTAGGCTTCTATGTGTGGGATCCTGGAAGCAAAATTTGGAAGGGGGCTGGCATGATTCCAGCAATCAGTGTGAGTTTTCTAAATATCCTTGAAATTTCTTGCATAAAGATGGTTTCTCTTAATTTTTTTCACAAGAAATATGTCACTTCAGGTGTTACGGTTCTCAATTCATTGTCTACAGTACCTGGTCTTTTTTGCACGGTCACTGGAGTAGTTTCTTTCTGAGAGATAATTTGGAGCCCTTGGAGGATTTTCAAATGTTTGCTCAGTTATCCTAAAAAAAAAAAGAAACCGCACAACAAGAAAACAAACAGTTTTAAAATTCATTTTCAACTACACAGCTTTCAGTTACACTTACAGCTATAAATGTAGAAGCTTGAGCTGGAAACAGTAAGTAAAATAAATTTATCTTTTTCTTACTGTTAATAAATTGTGGTTTGTGAAAAATAATGGAATCACTGACCTATAATTTTAAGTCCTCTAGTTTATGCTGGTAGATATATCCACATCAGAAACTTCATCTAACTTTAATTGAGCTCTAGTTTCCCCAAGAGTGCCCACTGAGGTTTCCGACTGTGCAGAAATGTCTCAGTGGTTGATAACGTTCTGCATTTTCTTGGCAGTATTCTGTAATGTTTTATTCTTGCTTTTACTATATTTTAGTTCCAAATTTTCTTTTTTTTGGGTATACTACGGTTATGTTTTTATTAGGAATGACCAGCTAAACAGATACGTAGAATCTTATTTTAAAAAGCAGGATCACGATTCAAACAAAGGAAACTTGTCTCCTCCAGTTTTCCCTGCCACAAACTTGACATGCAACTAAACATAAAAATAAACCTTGTCAGACAAATTACAGGATTTAAGGAATAAGTGCTGATAATGTTTTTGTTGATTTTACAAAGCAGCTCAGACAAAGGCTGTTCTTGTTTGGTTTTGCCAAAGGTTATATTCTGAAACAACTTGATGATTATAAGCCTTAACTCTGGATGTTTGGGCTGCAGCTTGATTTATTTCAGTGAGCTTGCCAAGGTCTGAAGCTCTGCTGAATGAATCTTGCTTAGTGCTGGTCACTGTTTTATATGCATAGCATGCTGCATGAAGCAGCACCCTCTATTGTGCTTGACTCCTAATCGGGCAGACCTCCTTTCAGAACTAAAAGAGAAACTCATTCACCGTAGATATTCAGTATATGCTTTTCTGGTCAGATTGTGAAGTGGGACTGCTAGGATTAAAATATTTTGTATTAATAAATAGCAAACCTGCTTATTTATACAGATAGCTAAGTTCTTCCTCTTCATTTAGATATATAACTAAATGGAAGACTCAAACAGATATCATCCAAACGGTACCTAAAAACATAATTCTAACTTCACTTTAATTGACCAAAATGAATCTTATTTTTTGCAAACAATGAAATCTAGTAGCAGTGAAACTTTCGAACTGTGAGTGCATTTACTTATATTTCTTTGAGATCCTAACAGCTGAGTTCACAAAAGACCTAGATAAGCACAAAAATACCTATGACAATCTTGTCACCAGGCATTTTCATTTACTACAGGAGATTATAGGTTTGAGTAATTACTTATTATCAAAATCCATGCAGCTATATTGTTATATTTGGTTAATCAGTCTCATTTTAGAAATAACGCAGATATCTTACTCAAGTTATGCAAATTCTGCTTGCTTGTATTAAGAATTCATGTTTTCTGGTACCTCACTAAACAGCTGCAACTCTTGATATTGGCTCTTTAAATTTTAGAGAGAACTATGAACTGAGTCTCACCGCTTTTTACTTTGATCATCAACAGATTTGACTTCAGTGTGATCACCAAGGTCCTCATCTCTGTGAAAGTGAGAAAGACCTCAGAATTAATCAAATTATTTGATTTGACCTAAACATATTAAATGGGTTGAATTACTTATGTTGAACAAGAAAATTATATGCATTTCACAAGAAAGATTCCTGACTACACTATGTATCACAATTGTTTCATATTAGAAGTGTTTAGTTAGTTATGAGGTAAGAGTTATCAGTTCAAACTTCAATACTTTTTAGTTTCTTCCCAGTGTGACACTACAAAAGAGCGACAAACTACTCAAAAATTCTAAGCTCATTATAATATTGTTGGATAATTCAGGTTGGAATTCAGGGACCTTGGGAGGTCTCTAGTCCAACCTCGTGTTCAAAGCAGGGGCAGCTCTGAGGTCAGACCAGGTTGCTCAGGACTTTTTCTAGTTGGGTCTTGAAAACCTCCGAGGACAGAGATGGCAAAACCTCTCCAGACAACCTCCTCCACTTCTGGACAGTCCTCCTTAACACCCAGTCTGAATCTTTCTTGTTTCGGTTTATGACTGCTGTGTTACATTGTGCTGCTATGCGACATTGGAGGGCCTGTCTATATCTTCTAAACTGACTATGGCTCTATCATTTTAACTTGATAACATAATTTCATTCAGTACAGACACCAGCACCATGAGCAATGGAAATAATAAAGTGTGTTACTTGCTTTGTCGTTATATCCAGTCCAAGTTCCTCTAACAACTGCTGTTATCTGGGGTTGTATACAATCTCTAGGGCCATATGACTAGTAACTCATAAATCACTGTCTGTGAAAAAGCTGTTTTCTTATAATAAATTTCATAGATTAACATATGTCATCTATATAATATATTAATATAATTTTACATTAACATATTGAATGGTGTGTAATTAAAATTAAGAATGTTATCCATTGAAGAACTGTTTAAGATTAAAAAAAGTCCACACTGGTTCTTACTTGAAAATCAATAATGATACTAAGAAAAAAGATGATTTAAAAAATTTATTTATGATACTCCTCTTTTGTATTTAAAGGGTAATTTTTAGTTTGACAGAGCATTTCACATTAATTTAAAGAACTCTGAGGTCATGCACTGACTATTTAGAGTTCCAGTAAGATAAAGTCAAGTACTACCTGTGTTTCTTCCATACTGAATTATTTATATTTACTAGCCTGCATTTAATGAGGAATTTTAAAGAGTTAAAATTCTATGGTTTAAAGCAAATAAAAATACTAATTTTGACTCCTCTAATGATTTTTACAGAACAGAACGTATTAATACTAATATCCAACCAACCACAAACATTTTGTAAGTATATAAGGGTAAGATCATGACAGCCTTGCCTCTTATTTTTCTGTCCAGCAGTATTTATTTCAGTAAAATCCTCAAGGTCTTTTCCTCTGAAACAACAAAAAAATACAACTGTTAAAATATATTCACCCTATGGGAGGAGGTATAGTGTAGTAAGAAATATATTTATGCATACATATCAAAGAAAAAAAGTAAATTGTTAATTAAATTTATGTTCAAAATTTGCAGATACTTACATTATTTACCATAATAAAAAAATGTTTACAATTTTCCACTAGCAAGGTGCAATTCTGTACAATTAAATAAAAAATATTATCTAGTACAGCCAAGAAAATTAAAAGGCTTTGTTTAATCATATCAATGCCATAGTTTAAGATTGCTCTTTGCCAGTGAAAATAGTGAAGGAGAAACATGAACTTTCAAAGAATTTAATATTAATTTACAGGCTCCACGCAGCTTAAACCTTGTTTGCATCATTAATTTGCAAAAAACCCATGGTTTTATTTAAACTAAGAAACTTCTACGACACCTAAAAATATGTCCTAATGTCCACATATTTTTGCTTCTGGAATGACAAGAAATTACCTCCGTATGTCATCATAGTTAACAAAGCATTGATTATGTCTTACTTATACTGAAAATGTTAGCATCCAAAGACTCATAAAATTTATGTATAAGTAAATATTTTTAAAACTTTATAAATACAATTAAACTGATGGCTAGTTTTTCCTCTGGATTTTTTTTTTTTAAATTGTTTTAAAATGGTTCAGTGAATTAGAGAATGGAATGACCTATGAAAAGCCTCTAACTAATGTAAAAAACTCTGATTCTCTTTAGGTAAAAGTAGGGATCAAAAGCAAAAGGCTAAGTTAGCTCTGTGAAACTGGTAACTTTCACTTCAATCCATAATAGGCTTATTGATCTTTAAACTTTGGATGCGTCCTAAATTTCTGTAGTGTCTCGAAGTCTTGAACTCTATCCTAATAAATGCTCTGTGAATTATATTTTGCAAAAAAATCATAATAAACTTACAGGTTAGTGCTAAGTGTACATATATATATACATATGTATGTATGCATGTATGTGAGATTGTCTACTGTAAAATAGATGATCACGTTAGCAACATTTGATTGTGTTGCCACAGTTGACAGTGCTGCTGCTGTTTAGAACATCATTCCTGAAGCTATCTGTAGAATTTTGCTGTTAGGTGTGACAAATATTACATATCTCTTACTAGCACAGTACCCTGGCGGTTCCTTTCTTTCTGTATGCTGAAGCGCTGCTTACAGACCAGAAGATACTTGGCCTGAAACACACTGAATTGATGTGCTGTTCAAAAATGCAAGTTCAAGCTGTTCTTTATGGATTACTGCCCTTGCTAACTGAAATGCTTTCTCACACCCCATTGGGACAACAATTATCATCCATGAGTTCTACAATATTTCGTTTAATGCCCCTTCTCTAACTATATTAAAATATTTCTTTAGTAGTTTTATTAAGGAAGCATGTACAGCAGGTATGGAAACTTGCCATAGGTACTACTTGTTTAGTTGATAGTGCACATGCCAGCTAATTAGTATATTTTTATATTCATCATTCTGTATAAGGAACGCTACTTATTAATCTGTAAACATTTTACAGATTTGCAACATTACCTTTCCTGACATTCTCATAGTTACAGACTACTCACTGCCTTAGAAAAGCAGGGCCTGAGAAGCTTTGAAGACTTACTCCTTGTCACTTGTGAAAGAACTCTGATTCACTTTGGTGAGGTTATCAAGATCTTGGTTCCTTTAGAGACAGAATGAAAATTAGAACAAATCACAATTAGTATAGCCAACTGTCAGTTAGCCAAATTAAATGCTCACTTAAAAAGAAATTGTAATTGACACATTCTTTATGAAAGACAAAATCAAACTGATGAAAAATTCAAAGCATACATCATTTTAGTAATTCAAAGATATTCATAGACACAGCCGTATGCCCCCCATATTCACATAAGCACACACTCTTTCTGGAATAAGAGGACCAAATTATGTTTTGGAAACAAGTTATGCCTAATACTTATATCAAAAAGGATAATTCCCCCTGAACATGTGTTACAGACAACTTCAAAAAGTGCCTGACCCCAACATGCTGTGATATAACAAAAAACTTTACCAGATAATACAATTAGCCAAGTATTCCTGACATGTGCAAGAATAATTTATTACCTAAAAAGTAATTACAGACTAAGTCTTTCTGACTAAATTAGTCAGAAAGGTCCATTATTTGGTAGGCTATGTAGGCCAGCCCCTTCCCAATTAAACTCTCCCTTCTCACAATAAAGTTCATGTTTAAACTGAGGGATGCTGAGAACTAGTTACATCACTGATTCTTGAACTTCCATAAAAGCGATCAGATGTGATTTACTATTGTTATCTGATGTAAGGAAAAAAAAAAAAGTCTTCCTTGAATTAGATCTTGTTGGATAATTAATTTTATTTTTTCAATATACTAACATTAAACATATAATCTATATTAATGTAAAATAACTATTCAAAATAGAAATGTAAATCAATGTCTTTTATACTCTTTGAAAGGAACATCCAGTAGTATCAAGTCAAAACATGAGGTGTTACTTTGACTGCTTTTATTTCCTTTCAAAGGATTGCACTGGTGTTAATGTTTCTATAAAACACTTAATTTCTGCAAAAATGCATTTTCCAGCTGCAAACTCCTCTACTGAAAAACTTCCAGGAACTTTACCTAAAAAGTTACCTTCCAGTAACATTAACTCACTACAAAATATTGAAAAATTGACTCCTCAAAAGAAACCAATGGGAAAAGAGTGATGCCCACAGTGGTATGAGAGTGCCCCTGCTGTAGGACCTGTTCTATAACCTGGTAGTCAACAATGTTCCATACGTCTCATTACTGACATTTCATTCTGAACAGTTCTGTCATGAAACAACATCTCAGTGAAAGATAAAGACAGCCTTTTGAGATTTTGTCTCGGTCATGTTTGTTAGCTTTGGGGCTCCCTTTGATGAGATTATCAAGATCTCAGTTTGCTTAGGAATGAAACAAAACCAGTTCAATACAAGGAGAGTCTACTACCATTTAGCTGGAATTCCATATCAGTAATTAATAAATCTACATATTATATATTTCTGCCAATTCTTTTTATATTGCCACAGATTTCACACTTTTCAGAGTTTTCCTGCAGAAGCTGGATTCTTGTGTTTATCCAAAAATATCCTTTCCTTTATGAGCTAGATGGCAAATTGCTTCCTCAGTACTTGGAGTCAGCAACACTAATACGATAGTAAGTCTAGTAAGACCTCAGGTAGTTACTTTGTTAACTTATATTTTTGCAATTTTTGTTAAGAAAAAACCTCCAGCTGTGCACATGTCTGGCTTGACTAAAATACGCGTTATTATTCTTGCTTCCTGCCTCCTCCATTTCTTTATGTTCTTAGAGGCATTTAAAATATGCATCTCAAGTCTTCTATAAAGCCCACTGAAGCTTCACAATTGCAGCTACCTCAGTTATGATCTTTATGTGCTATGCAACCCTCACATATATATCGGCCTCAGTGTTGCATATTCACCCAAAACATAGAAAGCAGGAGATTTGGGACTCCTGTTCATTCTGGCTGCAATCATGGGTCTATATGCAGTTTACTCAGCAGGGTTATCAGTAGCCTTTGTGCTTACTTCTGCGGACTT